ATAAATCAACGAGTCGAGTCTTAATCGCTTATTGCAAATATTGTTTTTACAAATGTTAATTAAAGCTGAGTGAAATTCAAATAAACCCTTCACTTCCTACTTCCTACTTGTTAAAAAGACAGGAGGGAAATCGATTAATTTATAGCTTACGATAGTGATCAATAAAAACTTGTGGAAATAGTAATTTGTTTCAAGATCACTGTGTACACAAAATGGATAAAGTACATAAATCTGACAAGCTCTATATAGACTTGTCTTACTTTTATTATCTTTATCTCTTATATAATTATAATATACTTACTAGCGTTATATATACACATAGATCATAAATTTATATCCTTTATAAATAAGTAAGAATCCGTGGGCCTTTCTCTTACACATTTTATTGTGTTTCTCTTCTAATAAAGTACAGGAATAGAGGAAAATTATTTTAAAACTGACTAGTATCTGAAAATGTATTAATTTAAGAATGCAAATAAGATTTTTATATAATATTAAATATATAAACAAGAATTATGTCTTAAAAAAGTAAAATAGTCAAATGTATAAATCAGATTAAAATATTTGTGGAAAACATATTATTGCTCAATTTATTATAATGACATGCTTGCAAAATAGAGGTTGTAAATAGAGGTTATAGATAAAATAACACATAGCTACGTATCGGTTCATACATATACAAAGATAAGATAATATCGTTTGTTACTAATAAAAATTTCTTCTTATAATTGCAATTGATATAATGCGAGAATTTATGCGTAAAATACAAATAAAGTTTCATTTTATTATTAATAAAAAAGTTGCATATTTCATAATGATTGAAAAGTGCAATAGATGTTTCTTTCATAATGATTGAAAAATGCAATAGATGTTTCTTGCATAATTTTTGCATCTTACATTCGTACAAGAGTTTAAAATTTAAAATAAATGTCAAAAATAAAAAAAAATAAAAAAATCCGTCCATATTTCGCAATTTCATGAAATTAATATTTATAAGAACATATAAAGTGTGAAAAATTTTTTATCGTTGAAAAATATTTGACACACGTGACACACGAGATATAGATGTAAAAAAAAAGGCAATGATTTATTTTCTCTTAAATATCAAGATGTATATTGTCTTAATGGTTTGAGATAAATAAAGTTCGCGAAGGCAAGAAATTGCGAGGGAATAAAGTCTCGAAAGTTCCCCGTAGCGATGTGGGCCAAATACTAATAAACCAGTTGTTCCAGCACGCAAGAACGGCGAACGCTCGAAAGAGCATGGAAAGTCACGCGCCTGTGAGAAATCCGTGTATACGCTCGAATAGTTATATAAACTATTACCGGTCACGCAGAATAGCGCTGAATCGCCAAATCCTAAATTACAAAATACCCAACGAGCAGGTAGTTATCTGACGAGAAAGAGCATACAATTTAGTGAATCAGCAATTCTTAAAACGCGCTCTGTTGTCATTTGTATATATTCAAACGCGCGTTCGGATGAAGTACGGCTGTCAAATTATGACACGATCACTGGCTGTGCAGTTTTCAACCATTATTTTCCCAATACGAAGATTAATGAAAACGTGAAAATGAGAAATCGTCTCACTTATATTTATAATAAATTCTCATTAGTTATCTAGAAAAGAAATTTTATGCAGCTGTTATTAAAATAATATTTCGTGATCTAAGTGCGCCAATAATAAGATATATGTCTTATTATCGCTTTGAACGATTTCTAAGGATTTCTTACGATTCCGAATATTCAATTAGATCTTATGTGCTTCATGTATTAAGAAAATTCGTATTAAAATTAAAAATAAATTACCGCGCGATGTTGTCAGAGAATATATATATTTTCGTAGCTATTTAAAGACCTGCTAAGACTTATTTTTAGGCGGTACCGTCGTAAACAAGACACTTAGATAATGCGTATATGGTGCTGGCATGCGTAATTACAATGTCGGATGTGTGCGTGCGATGGACGCGGTGATTTATACGCATGCGATCGTAAAGATTGTTCCTCTTACCCTCGCAAATGTTCGATTCGCGTATCACTCAGAGAGGCAGCGAGCGGCCTTTTGCTGCATAAGCGTGCGGGATTACTCGCGGAATTGCACAAATTTATCCCCATTCGTAACACTTGTCGATGCGATAGAAAGTAATAATACTTACAAGCGTCAAGTAATGATACTTATTAATCCTCTTGCATTACTTATGAATTCACTGCCGTAAATCGATACGAGTAAAATAATGGTAAAATAATGGCCTCCAAATTTTTGTTTATCGCAACTTTGATTATCATTTTTATCATGGACCATTTAGCACATAGTTTATAATAATTAAAAAATATATAAATATTTAAATAATCTTTATTTTTAAAAAAATCTTAATTTGTTATAATAATTTGTGCAACTTCAAATATAATCAATTTGTTAATTAATATCGACTTCGTTATTAAAAATAAAGAAATTTTATTTTATTGTGATAATTACAAAATGTAATGATATTGCTCGATAAAAAAAGATGTGACTAATTAAAAAATATACTGTAAATTTCATTAATTATGTAAATTCCGAAAAATGCATATTCACGATTAGTAACCGGCACCGACTGACACTCGAGATTCTTACCCAAGAAAGACAAACTCGAGAAAGAGTATAATATATCATCGCGACAATATAAAGACAATACGAAGTATTTGATATCATAATCAGCGACGACTGGTTTTAAGGTAAAACCAAACCAGCCATTGTCCAAGCGACAAAAGCGAAGCACGTATCTTGAATTTTACGAGCATCCTTATGTCATTGTGATAACTGTCCTTCGCGAAACGTTTTCTACTTCAGAGTTCTGCTTTTATGCCGCACCAAGTTTCCCTTTTCAAGTTCTTTGCTTTTTTCTTTCGTGATATGCATCTCATAGCATAATGTATATCAAATTGAATTATATATGTTTATTTGGTATACAAAATTTTTCAATGTTTTAAGATTCTTCATAAAACAAAGGATACACATCTTTAACAATATTAATGTAAATACTAGTATAATGATAATTATAAAAGTATCACAAACTGCTTTTCTATATTTGCTTTTCTATATTTTGCTATTATAGCATTTATATGTAAAATACAGAAAGAGAAAGAGACATACCACAAAACAATCTGGCATCTCCTTTCAACTTGCGCAATTCTTTATGTGACGCTGATATTACAAATAATTGATAGCCTTCTGACATTTTAGAATTCCAGGATTCACAGAAAGATTCTTGGACAAACAGCATGTTTTTCTTAACACAAAAAAAAATTAAAAAAAAACAAATACCACAAACTCTATCATAAATTGTTCAAGTATGTCTCTAACAATGTAAGCAGAAATATAGAAATCCAAACCGCAAAACCAAGTCGTAAGTTTTTCGACTGTCAGTGATGGTCCGACAGATTGTCTATCGAGGCAAGGCGTTAAGCGGCTTCGACGCTAAAGCGTGCAATTCCCGGCCGTCGTAAAATGCGAACGTCAATTCACGCTTCTCAAGCGATTGAATTCTCGGTTAATGATAAAAATCGTAGCGTGGTAATCGTAGCAGTGAATTGCTTATCGATGACGGCAATTAAACATCGAATAAAATGTCACATCGTTACGAAGAGTACTTACGATCAGCATACGTAATGTACGTCATAACGTTGCTCATTGCAGGAGATCAGACTGCTCTAAGACGTGTTCATTTCTTCCTTCGGATTCCACTTCACTCGCGACAAGCCTTCACCAATACTTTGAATAAAACATCGACGCGATTATATATGCGCATTTGACATAAGAAATTCCCGATAATTATCACGATTATATAAAAGAAATTCTATATCGAAGGAAGAAAACCTTTTCCTTTTCAATATCATGTTTTGTAAGCTTTATAAAAATATTAATTGCCTGCAACTTTCAAATAACGATAAATTATGATTAATTATTTAGTAAGCAATTTTTAACTTCGTCTTATTTAATATAAAGCTTTACTCGTTTTAAATATGATGAAGAGACAACAATACACGACGCGTGTCTGATTTAATCATTACTTACGTTGACGTCTGTCAACGTCAATGTTGCTAAAGAGTAACGCGGAACGAAATGGAAAGGCTAAAGGCAAAAGGAGAGTGGAGGTACAGAAAAAAAATCCGTGATCCAGGAGATAGGCAACCACGTCACGTTCATTCATCCCCGTGTTATGCAAGCAGTTGGTACCTAGTAATTAACCCATCTGAATGCACTTTCCCTATTTTGACACGCCAGCACGAGTTATACACATCGTTCTCTCTCTCTCTCTCTCTCTCTCTCTCTCTCTCTCTCTCTCTCTCTCTCTCTCTCTCTCTCTCTCTCTCTCTCTACTCTCTCTCTCTCTCTCTCTCTCTCTCTCTCTCTCTCTCTCTCTCTCTCTTCCCCCCCCCCTCTGTTGTTGTAAACATCCGTAAAACGATCAATTTGCTTTTTGCAAACAAAAACTCTAATGCACCATGATATTGACTTTCCCTCTAAATACTCGCCACACAAATACTTGGATACTCCGTATCCAAGAAATTATAGTGCCACACTCTCGTTATGTAAAGGCGTTTTTGCCCTACGCAAAAATGTTTCGAAAAAAAAAAAAAGGCCAACCACCGATAGTTTCTCCTCCGTTTCGAAGACGCAAAAAGAGGACCATTCAGACTTGATTCGCTGCAAGTGGCAATTAGACCGCACGGAGAAATTGCGATACCAGAAGAAAGCTCTCCTTAAGAATCCGCCACTTGCCACAATGGCAGTATCTAATGACTGGCCGGATGAGGTTCCATGATTCCAGCCTCGGTTGTGTCCCGTTACGTAAAACGCCGCGTAAGAGCGTCACGCGTCTGACACGCTCTCTCGCGCATCGCATCGCATCGCATCGCATCGCATCGCATCGCATCGCATCGCATCGTGCGTGCGACTCCACGTAAATCGGATATCGAGCGATCTCGGATTCTCGGACGGATGGATTTCGAGGCTTACTTTGCCGGAGGTGGGCGAGCCGGATGTCGGGCTTAGATGATACATCTTGGGGGTGAGCATAGCTGGAGGTGTGCCGAGGCTACCCGGGGCGACAGCCACGCTCGTCATGGTCATTTCCCGCGATGGTCGCAGACCTCAGTGTCTCCGCAGCACCAGCAGTCCGCGCCCCTCTGTTCCAATCTCGCATCCTCAGATCGTGACGAATCTGATCGACAAAGAAAAATTGTTTCCTTTAGGTATATCAATTGTTCAACAATGTCTCTTAATACAGAAGTGATATGTATCGATTTTTACTCAAAAACATTTGTGTAAGTTAAAGCATTCGAGCAATTTTTTTATACATATAAGATTAATAGTATAGAAGATACTTAATAATATTTTAATATGCAACTTATAAAATTAATATCACTTTCTTTATATCTTTCATTGCTAGAAAATATCGTTTCTCAGAGCATAAAATAAATGTTTATCCTAACGCTACGTTTAATCGTACTTGCGTTTCAGAGAGATTCGAACGTATATTTAGGCACGATGTGGATTGAATTAAAATCTCTGTGGCGAAATCTACGTTTCAACGATGAAATGATGAGTTCGGGATCGACAGTAGCAAAACGGCGTTTCATAATCATCGCGATAAATTACGATACCTGACAATGGTACCATGCAATTTCTCTCGCCAAGAGATCACGATTGCGCAATTTTCGTCGCGCCAGACGAGATATTCGGTCGGCCGGACCTAGAAAGCGTCCAGGAAATGTTAATTCGCCGGAGTTACGTGCATCGAATACGGACGAATATATTTCGCGAGTTCTATGCTTGGTTAAGCACGTAACATTTGTAGTTGACATTTATTTTCGATACGTAGCCAATACATTTTCGCCAAACCAAATATTCGTGACATTACATTCACGATTTCGTCACTCTGTAACTTTATATAATCGCAACAATGCAAATATTTTATCTTGCTCTGCTTTTAATAAAAAAAAATTAAAAAAAAAATTATTTTTAATTTCCTATTTTATTCCATAAATGTGAATTTTTTATTTTAGTTATAAATGTAACATTTTAATTTCATGATATTACAGCGCACATATAAATATTAAATAAAATTAATCAAACTAACAAAATTAACATTAATTTACAAAGTACAAATTTAAAATCCAAATATAAAACACAAGCTTGATTTCAATTATATAACGCATCGTTTAATAAATTAAGATAAGTATCAGTATTTATATAAAAAACTTTACGTAAACCTATTACATTACAAAGTTAGAATTGATTATTCACAATTAATATTTGAAAACTTCCCTGATTCGTCTAAAGATCTGTCCAAAAATCAAATATAGAAGTAAATAAATTAATCGATTAAATAATAGAGAATTTGATAAATAATGTATTAGCTAATTATCAGTCCCTTTTTTTCATATATGGAAAACAGTTCATCACGTCAGCTTAGAAATAACGCGAGTAGAATTCATAAATAATTAAAACGTACGAAGAGAGACGGAAAACGAAACATGTCACGTGAATCTTACTGGATGTATAAACAATTCTTGTTGAACGAAGGAAAATTGTATATAAGAGCATATAAACCGCTTAGCCGTCTGTGACTAACAGTTGATGCAAACGAGCCCCACAAATTAATTCCACAAACGAGGGAACGCAATGTACGAGTGACTTGGTAGCATTTAATTAACAGAGCGAGAGATTATCCAAGAAATGGAGCGGATAACTGTTCGAAAGAAAAAATGATCCGGAGTGCGAGCGCTTAACAATAAATTATCATCAATTGTAACGCACACCGCACTTAACTGTAAATTCAATCTACGAAATTCTGGAAACTTTATTTTTTGTTGCGTTGTTTTATTTATCCTTATTTATTATAAATGCTTGTAACTAAACAAAAATAAAAACAATACGATATAATACAAATTCTTATTATATAATACTCAGTTTCGTGATAAACTTTCGCGATAGCCCGTTGATTAATTTTGTTCAACGCAAATCTGTTTCAAGATCAGAAAATATATTTTACATTTACGTTACGGCTCTGATTTGTAAAACTCGCTACAGTTCATGGAACCCGTTGTTTCCCCACGAGGCCCTGCTCGAACTGCATTCGTACGCACGGGGCTCAAATAAAGATGTCTGCGAAGCCGCCGACGGAGCCGACGCGTTACGACCGTGGAATGCATTCTCGAGATTCTTGCTCGTCGATGCACCACCGTCCGCTCGTGATGAGTAAACACACGCTGTAATAACGAGACGGGCATAAAAACGTCTGCCGGAGTTATTTTTACACGATCCTGCGAGAAGAAATCGCGACGATCGAGACGTCCATTCAGAGAAAAGAAGAAACATCGATCGCGTAGATAAGGATTGACATTGATTTATCGCTTTATGTAATAATTGTAAATTAGAATTATGTAGGCGATAGAATTACGTCGACGATAATGAGATCGTCTTTATTAAACTTTCCTATATCTCTGACATTTTCAATATTTACGTGAGTATATGTGATATATATATTTCACGTATATCGTGGAACGCAAATGACCATATTACTCAAGTCGCACAAATGCAAATCGCGTTCATGAATTGCAAAATTTAGGAATGAACAAAGAGGAGCAGCGCTGACTTTATAACGGTGCGCGACTCGCCGAAAGACAATGATCGGCCGTTCGCTTTCGTAATGATACGGTACGTCGTCTACGATCTAATGCCGAAGCAACGAGAGAAACAGCCGAAGGGAGTCGACGATTGCAAAACGAACTAAATAAACCGGGCTATCATTAGAGTCTCAAAATCGCCGGCGATACTTTACGTCTGTCGCGTTCCTTCTGTCTGCCAAAAATAGACCAAACTTGTAGCCCAACCCTTGTAATTACGCAATTAGAAAGTAAAATTTGACTAACGCTATTTCTGATTCTAAAACATAAAAGAAACAATCCAGAAATAACAAGGTTAGGTAGAAGCGTCGCTTTCGTTATTTTAAAAATAAAAAAAAATTTAATATCAATTTCTTATCAAAATAACAGTTTTACAGGTGTTTAGTTGCAAAATAAAATAAAAAATTTAAAAACATAATTTAGAAATAAATCAAAGTGAAAAGCTTAATTAAATTTAATCTTTAATTTAATCTTTAATTTAATCAAAATATTTAGTCAAAAATTTAAAAAAATTGCAAAATACCACGAATTATTATGAAACTTTCGCTAGAAAATAAATTGCTTCTAAACTCCTCGAGAGAGGAGTTCCCATCGACGACAGATAGAAATGATGGTTGAACATGTATACATATTCCCGTATATATGTTTGGAGGGATAATGACAGTTGCGATCATGCGTCACAAGTAATCAGCAAGAGGATAACGATGATGATGTAATTCATCCGTAAATCCGAAAGACCGTGCATTTCCTCGGCCGTGTAATCCGCGAGTCGAGGCACGTGTATTCGCACGGTGTGCACAACTCGTTGTACATCGCCGATAAATCGCCGCGGTGAAAAATAATAGTCGAGGAAATCGCGCAGAACGGACAATTATGTCGTTACCGTATGGCGGCAATCAGCAACGCGCGGATCTACCCGAAACACCGTGCGAGCTCTTGCTTTAGCAAGTTTACGTAATGAGACGTTTTTCCCTCCAGATCCTTGAGCGACAACTCGGACTTTTAAACGGACCGACGCAAATCCGAGAACGACAAAACGGAACGGAAATGCGCCGAGTTTCTCAGGTTACACGGAAAGTGTGATACAAGAATGCATAGAAACATAAATTGATAAAACTTACTATTATTTTAGTTAGATCGTTGTAACATAATTTACCACGACAATAATGACGAGAAACGTGAGGCCAGATGTCCTAGAATTATGAAAAATCACGCCGCGATTTACATAACGATAGAAATTTTCTTCCGTCGCGAAATATAAAAATTCACACGGTCTCGGGTTCTTATTGCAGATAATACTTTGATTACGATCATCTTTTAGCCTTGTCATGTACACATTAATTACATTCACTAGGAGTAATCATCTACGCAAATTGTAGAAATAAAAACATGTCAATCTTTCATCTGATGATGCCAACTTGCATGTAATAATGTGTAATGTGTTATAAAGTAAAATATCGACAGAAACATCATTTATCATCTGTATCGAAGTTAAAATAGAAAATCAGTATTCACGATTGAAAGATGTATTATTATTTTAAGCATCTTCCTCACTTACCACTTTGTTTCTTTTGATATTTTTAAAATGCTAATTTTATTTTATTTAACTTTATTTAAATTTACTTTTTTCTTAAATATGAATTTTTACTTAACAACAATTTTAAAACACGCGTAAACTTCTGTCAATATTTTAAAGGAAAATAAATAAAATCCATAATCACCAATTATTTATGTTAAAATCGTTAAAATGGATATTATTATAAATCAAATTCTAATATTTTTAGGATATTAATTTTATCCTAAAGACACATTTTTATTTAACAACAATTTTAAAACGCGAGTAAACTTCCTTTAAAAGAAGATCCGTAATCACTGAGATCGTTGAAAAGGCAAAAAAATGACATTATTATAAACCAAGTTCCATGCAGAAACTTATGCTAATTACAGGAGAGATCGAAGGAAATGATTTCGTCCTTATCCACTTTCCACGAGGAAGATCTCCGGATTACGAAAGTCCGACGGCAAAGTCTCCGCACGACTCATCTTCCGGAAGAAACGCGACGACATGCGGCATGCCGTTAATGTAGGTTAACACACCTCTCGAAGGACAACGTGTGCGCATACTCCGAGTACTGTTAATCCGCGCCGACTGACACTCATCGTCATGCAGCGTCCTGGCATTCAATGATTTTTTTTTATTTCAGCAATGCTGCCTTCTGCGTTCGCAACTTGCGTCTTCGAATGCGCCTGTGTACGTACAGTGAACACGTGTGGCAAACAACTGCAAGCGGAACCGTCTCGTAATATACTAGAAACGTACATAAAAATTTGCTGTGACGAAATTGTGATATAAATCATTCGTCGTATTAAATTTTTTTATATTTTATATTTTTACATAATAACAAGAAATATAATAGACTTCCGTAGAACTTATGTATATGTCTGAGCTTAACATTTATTCAAAGTAAATAATAACTCACGTGTTAAATGTTCAGAGCCAAAAAGTATAAGTGACAAATTTTATAAAAACAAG